TTTTTTGGCAAATGTTAGGGAAGTTGCTCAGTGCTTTCTTAGCATTTCAGCCTGACTATGGACAACTGTGAAGTTTCATTGATATACTTTATTATCTTTATTTGTTAACAAACATTTATTAAGCACTTCCCATAGAGCAGTTATTGTCCAAGCAGTATAAATACAAACTAGCCATAATCTAGTCTAAACTGGATACAAGGGGTAACTCTTTATTTTTTAAAAAGTCATAATTTTGGACCAGCATGGTGGCTTACACCTGTCATCCCAGCATTTTGGGAAGCGAAGGCATGTGGATCACTTGAGGTCAGGAATTCAAGACCAGCACAGCCAACTTGGCAAAACCCCTAAAAATACAAAAATTAGCTGGATGTGGTGGCACACACTTGTAATCCTAGCTACTTGGGAGGCTGAAGCAGGAGAGTCGCTTGAACCTGGGAGCCTGAGGTTGCAGTGAGCCAAGACTGTGCCACTGCACTCCAGCCTGGGGAACAGAGCAAGACTCCATCTCAAAAAAAAAAAAAATCACAGTTGGACTAATTTATAAACTATCAATAACTTTTAAAAGGGAAAAATACAAATTTAGTTGTTTTTAAACTTTTCTTGCATAATAGTTTTTTTCTAATAGACAATCTTAGTTAACTACCTTTCTTGTGATGCAGCTGGCTCAGAAATGGTTTTTAAACAAATTATTGAGCATCTATTATGTGTTAAGTGCTAATGGCTTCAGAGGTGAAAATAAAGTCAAGGTTTCTGTTTTCATATAGCTGACGTATTTAGAAACCTAGAATTAAAATTTAGATTCCTGCTTTCAGAAACTTATGGAACATCGATGCCACACACTTGGAATTTTTTGCATATTTCTTTTGATTGTACTCAGCAAGATCATCTGTCAGTAAAAACTACTGTTTCTAAAATATTGTTCATTTACTAGAAATTAAACAAATAAAAACACTTACATATTGGAAATTTATTAAATCCCACTGCTATAGACCAGACTTTCATATTTGGATAAAAAAGAGCTAAGAACTGAGTAGCACATTACCAAAGATACAAATAGTATTTTTCATTCAGTGTGTAATTTCCTGTGAAAATCATAACTCAACCAAAATTTTAAATTCAAGCTCATTGAAACATCTTTTATTGTCAAAGATATGTAATATTTAAGTTCCAGAGTCAACAATTAGCTTTTAATGTGAAATAACAAAACATCAGAACAATCCCTTTACAGGGATTGTTTGGTGTTTAGAATAGCACCAGAGAAAAATGTCCATTTTCACTTTAAAATCACTGGGTTTTACAAAGGCATAAACATAGATATAGGTATAAAATTCCAACTTCAAAACTGTGAAATTTGAGACACATTCAGTAAATTCCTCTTTCCTCCCAGCTGGCTTATGTAAGCAGGTATTGTGATACCTCATTAGTGGATCAGGTATAGCTATTAAAGACATAAATGAACAGTTGAATCATATTTCAAGGCTGCAATGGACCTTGGTTTATAAAGTTGAACTCCCGCATTGTTAGAGTGACACTGAGGTCTCAAGAAGGGAAATGGCTTATCCACATTGACATCATTGGTAAGTGGCAGTCTGACCACCACAAATCAGGTTTTCTCAAACTGAATGTACCCGGTAGAGTTTGGCTATTAATAATAAAAATGATGATAATTTTGGGGTACTTAAAAATACAGGTCTCTGGGCCTTACCTTCAGATATTCAAATTGGGTGGAGCTGGGAAGGTACCCAGAATTTACTGTTGATGATGCTACAACTGATCTGACAACTACACTCGAAGAAACACTATACAAATTCTTTAAGACTTAACTATTTCCAAAATAAAATGGGAAGTAGTGTGAGAATTTCAAATCATAGCTTTAAAGACATTGCTTTTCTCCCCTCTGCTTCTCAGATATTCATGTGTTCATGTCAAACACACAATCAACAAAAGTCAAGGTCTGTTGACTGTCCAGGTATGACTGTGAGTGTCACAAGGAGCTCCTGCAAAGGGCTGGAAATATGAGCCTCTGGCCATTTTGTCATGTTAAAAAATTATCTGGCTAACGTATTTCTAAGGCAGTGAGAGGATTATTTCAATCCAGGAAATGTTTGAAACTGTAAAATTGCATAAACTATTAATGTTTTATTTCAAATAAAAATAAAATTTTCTCATTTATAGATTTGCTTTTCAATAATGTATTGACTTATTTATTCAATGAACATTTTCTAGGTATCTACCAACCAAGCCTTTAGTCAACATCTGCTGCATCATAAATGTCTTCAAAATGTCTTCCAAAACAGACTAGATAATTAATTGAAAAATGATACTGGAAGTTGTGGGGATTAGGTGGGGAGTTTTATTACCTTATACACAGTATTTATGATTACAATGAAACATACAAAAAAGTTTTTACATTAATATAATTCTAAAGAAGTTCAATGTTTATAACTATTTTAAGGGGCTTCTAAATTATAGAAAATTTACTTAGGTACAATAACAAAGCAGTGATTGGAATCACAGTTAATTCAAATAGAAAATAAGCTTCATAGGTTATGATTTATATTAAGCCCCAAAATTCAATTATAATGACAGTCTTGTGATTTACATTTAGCCTTATATAATTCTTTATGAACTCTCTACAAAGCATATATGAAGCTTGAATGAAGCAGGTCCCAAATTTTAATTAACCTGGATGAATGCGACAGATTACTGATTTAACTCAATTGAGAATATGGGATTATCATCGCTAAATCAAAGATGACCCCACAGGATTTACCATTATGCTTTTGAGTATATCCCCATATCCTGTCATTTCAGATTATTTTGACTTATTTGTTCTTTCTCCATCTTGTTCTAAAAAGAGTTTAAGTCTGTCATTTCAAATTAAGGTTTGCTTTTCAGACTTTTTTCTGATAAAAGAAGTAGTTGGATCTCCATCAATAGATTCGCAGTTGACAGGCCAAGTTCTGTCCATGGCTTTACTTTATTTTCTGGAGGGCACTGCAAAGGATTCCAATTTCACCTACAAAGAAAAACACCATCAAAATGGGCCACTCATATTATAAACACTCTGCAAGTGTCCACAGCGCAAAGCACTAGGGGATAAGTGGGCTTCTTGGATAAGCTGGATGCCACCCCAACTTTCAAGGAGCTTACAGCTTCATTATGGTATAAGTACTTGTATGTTTTAGAAAGTGCCAGAGCTGTTAATGTAATCAGCATCCCTTTTCCATAGGTCATTTCTCAGGGAAGGACTGAACAGCTCTCTCCCTAGGCAAATCATTAGCTGTTGTGTTTTTCTTTTATATTACCATTTACAGATACTTCAAGAAATGAAATCACTGAAGCTAAAAGTATGGTTCACACAAAACTCTAGTGTCAGAATCACCTGAGGTCTATAAACTCCCAGTAGTTATCACAAATTTGGTAAATTTAGCCTTGACTATGACTCAAAGCTATTAATTTTCAGCAAGCTCTTCATTTGATTCTGATGTACTTTCAAATTTAAGAATCCATGGTCTAAGCAGATAACTCAGTCTACATGGCTAGATCACTGGATGAAGGTGTGACACGACCTTCCATTTATGTCATGTTCTCACATGCCAAGAGGATGTGAGGCAGAAATGGATAGGACATAGGGTGGCTCTTCATGGAACTGGAAGGAGCCTTGGATGCGGACAAGCCTCACTCCCTCCTAGAGCTTGAGGAAACAGAAGTATAGAGAGGTGGTGAGGGCTCACATAAGGTCGCATGGCTCTAAGGACCCGTCATTTTCTAAATTTGTTTTTCTGTGAGTTTAAAAATGCCTTTACAAATTATAGCCTGTGGAGTTAATTTTGCCTTTTCAGGGCAAATGACGAAGAGCAAAAACAGGTATGGCTTTCTCTGTCTGTCTTATATCCTAGCTTCCAGAGCCCACAGCTGGCTTCCTTAATGAGCAAATCTACTCCAGCTGAGCATCCAGGATAGCATCTGTGAGGATGAATCAGCCTAGGGCTTTTCAAAACAGCAGATCACAGGTGGCCACATCTAATGGATGATGATGGTAATGGCCAGTTTGGGCCCTTTGCATTAGAAGTGGCCCTAGACAATGCAAAAGGAGTATTGGAGAAACTCTTCAAGCTCATCGGCCCTTTTGGCCTTCATTGATATTACATAAAAAAGGGAACACTCCACCCTGATCTGTCCTAGAATTTCTCTCTTTAGGTTCCTCCCTTTGGTAGTTTCATCCATTCTTTCAATAGCTCTTAGTTACCTCATATAATTTTTAGAAATAGGGCCAGATTCTGGGGATAGGGGTAGGTGCAGTGAATCTGACATGGCTCTCTGCTCAGGTCTAGTTGGAGAGAGAGACAAGAAAATGATTATAAAACAATATAGTGATAAGTCATCTGAGAGAGGGGTCTGTGGGAATGCAGAGACACAGGAAGGACATACAAATCAGTATTCCTACACAAATAGTTATCTATGCAAGATGTCAAAAGTGTACTGGAGTTGGATGCATGCCCAAGTAAATGAAAGTGAAAAGGAGAATATTTTAAACATAAAGAATTGCATGGGCAAGGGTTAGGAGCCAGCATGAGAACTAAAAATTGATCAGTGTTGCTGGAAGAGAGTATGAAGGGCTAGAGAGATAATCAGGTGATGAATGAGGTAACCCTGTGATATTCTTAAGGGCAACTATTATAATATTCTCATTATGAAGGAAGAGTGGAAGGCCAACAGATGAGCCACTGGACAGTTTATGAAGTGGACAGAGCCAGGCACAGTGATACCAACTGGACACTTTTGGTAGAAGAGATGGAGAGGTGAAGGAGAAAAAGGAACATGGCAGTGACAGGCCAAGTGTGGAAAGGTGGAATGATGGTGGGAGGTGGAGTGGAATCTAGGAAGGTCGTAGGAAAAAGGACACAAGCGTAATTCTGATCTTTTTGCCAAGTTCTTCTCCATCGATGAACTCATGGCTTACATGGAGATGCTTTGCTCCTTAATTAAATATTTTGTTACATTTCTTATTGTTCCTATGGCAATGGTAGGGAAACAGTCTTCTATCACTGAGAAACAGAGTGGCATCATAAGGTATATAAATTACTTACTGTTAATGGAATCAGCCAAAATCTTAAGCTGCTGGATATTGTCCAAGACCTCAATCCTTTGGGTGTATGGGTCATAGTGAACTGAGAAGGGCCGAGGGATTGTGGCAGCAAAGTTCCTAAAACCAGAACCACAGGCTTGAATGAAGGACACCATTTGGAGAAAGGTAATAATGCATGAGTTCTCAGTGGCATTTTATTTCTCTTTTAGGAATGTGGACACCTCCCTAGAACATGGGCTTCAAAGGCCAGGGCTGAGAAGGGGAGTGAAATTTTTGTGAGTCTTCTTGGGAAGCCTTTGTGTGTGTGTGTGTGTGTGTGTGTGTGTGTGTGTGTACAAACACACATATACACATATTTATCTTCACCTATCTCTAAGAAGACAGAAATAGCTTATAATGAAAGCACTGAAGACAATAAAGCCACAAACTCCTGTCATTAAATAAAATCAATAGTGAGTAAACTCTAGCTAAAGAATGCATATAGAGGGGAAAAAAGCTCTGAAATGCTTGACAATCAATGCAGAGGGAAACAGCTCTAAAGAGATGAAGAAAGCACTATGTTAATAATGAAATTTAACATGGATGAAATACCTTCTATGTTGCAAGAACTTTGTTAAGTTCTTTTTTTTTTTTTTGAGACAGAGTTTCACTCTTACTACCCAGGCTGGAGTGCAATGGCGCGATCTCGGCTCACCGCAACCTCCGCCTCCTGGGTTCAGGCAATTCTCCTGCCTCAGCCTCCCGAGTAGCTGGGATTACAGGCACATGCCACCATGCCCAGCTAATGTTTTTTGTATTTTTAGTAGAGACGGGGTTTCACCATGTTGACCAGGATGGTCTCGATCTCTTGACCTCGTGATCCACCCGCCTCGGCCTCCGAAAGTGCTGGGATTACAGGCTTGAGCCACCATGCCCGGCCGAACTTTGTTAAGTTCTAACTGCCATACGCTCTTTACAAATAGCTTTCCTTATTTAACCTTCACAAAAACGTTAGGAGAAAGGCACCATTACTATGTCCATTTTGTGGATGAGGAAACTGAGGCTCTGGAAGGCTGTGTGACTACTAAGGCTGTACAGTCAGTAAATTGTGCAGCTGGGAAGGAACCCAGGCAGTCTGACTCTGGCCTGGGCCCTCTGCTTTCTGGCCTTCCCAATGCCTTACTCCTGAATCTGGGAGAAATCCACCATGAGGGCCTCTGAGGGACATCATGCAATACCATTAATAAGATATTCTAAGGTAATCACACATTTCTAAGTTGTCCTCTGGTGAACGTATAAGCTGCTGTACTGTAGAAAAACAAAAACAAAAAAATAGTCACGGGATCTCCAAGTTCGGCAAGAGTGGCTCCCCAAGTTCCAAGTCAAGCTGCCTGGGCTGAAACCCTGCCTCTGCCTTCACAGCTCTTGTGACCATGGGCACAGGGCACCACTCTTCTGCACCCCAATTTCCTCTGTAAAATTGGAGCAACAGAAGTACCTGCCCCACGAGGTTGTAGCAAGTGCTGTTATAGTATGGAGTATGTGCCCCATGAATGTTGCTACTTTTCATGAAGAACAAATGGTCAAGTACGTATTTCCACCTCTTATTCTCTGAAAAGAGCTGTCTCAGCCCAGCTTGTGATGTGAGCCATAAGTTACACATTTGTGATTTTGTTTACTCTGTACCTCTTCCTCCTTCTTCCTATAAAGCGGCTCATTTTTGCTTTGGGTGATTTACCCCTACCCTACTAGGTGTATCTCAGTCCAGAAGTCAGTATTCAGTGCCAGCTCTCCTCTGGCCAGGAGGTAGCATGTGAACTATGCTCAGCCAATTGTATCTCTGTCTACAACTTGAATCTTGAAACTCCACGTGGTGAGAATTGGTTTCTCTTGGCTGGGGTGCTTTGAGGGAATCCAAAGGGAGATTCCTTTCTTGTTTTGAACCCTGCTCTTTTTTTTTTTTTTTTTTTTTTTTTTTTTTTTTTTTTTTTTTTTTTTTTTTTTTTTTTTTTTTTTTTTTTTTTTTTTTTTTTGAGACGAAGTCTCACACACTGTCACCCAGGCTGTAGTGCAGTGGCGCAATCTCGGCTCACTGCAATCTTCGCCTCCTGGGTTCAAGCAATTCTCCTGCTTCAGCCTCCCAAGTAACTGGGACTACAGGCATGTGTCACCACACCCAGCTATTTTTTTTGTATTTTTAATAGAGACGGGGTTTCACCATGTTGGCCAGGATAGTCTTGATCTCCTGACCTGATGATCCACCCGCCTCAGCTTCCCAAAGTGCTGGGATTACAGGTGTTAGCCACCGTGCCCTGCCCTGAACCCTGTTCTTTGGCGTTCTTTGACTCTATGAGCCACTTATCAGCAGAATGGAGTTTTCATGGTTGTTTCGCTTGAGGCCTCGGTACTCACAGGCCTGTGTCCTAAGCTCTTCCCTGCTTCTCTGGGACTGACCACTTGCTGGTTAGAGAGTTGTCCCCAGGCCTATCCAAATGTGATCTTGATATGACACAGTGCTCATCAGCACTGCCTCTAAGCCGCAGTGCCTGGGTCCAAATTTTGGACCTTTGTGGGGAGAAGGGGTGGGGGCAGTGCTGGAAGGAGGCTAGGCTCCCAGTTTTGGAGAGAACTAAAAAAGCAGAGCAGGAACGACTTGAGAGCTCTGGACAGAGCTGGAGAAATAAAGTCGTTTTAGGCCAAACCAAGTGGATTTGTGAACCAGCATTTTACCGTTAAGTATCTAAATATAGAAGTAGACATAAATTAAAGAATATCTATTTTAAAAGAAATAAACTTAGTCTTCGAGGTCTCTTTATTTCAAAGGGTTCTCAAACAAATGTTAGCTGGACCTGCCTTGTCCCACAATCTTGCCTTGCAAATGTAAGGTAAATGAATGAGTTGTGTGGAAGGGGTAATTTTTACCTTTTTTTGCAAGGGTCCTGGGGAGGATGGAATTTGGATTTGAAAGGAAGAACTAAGATGTGTGTTTGTGTCTTGAGTTTCTCCCTCATGTCTTTTTTCAAAAGTGTGAATTTCTTTGAGAAGTCATTCATTCTATCATCACTCCCCTCCAGTCCTCTGACCTCTCAGACACCATAGATAGGGTTGAAAGCCAATGTACCTAGCTTCATAGACTCTCAAAGGCCTGTATGTCCCATGCCTATCATCCATCACTGATAATATTTTTTAAGTGGTAACATACAGTGAGTATTAGAATATCCATGTCCAGGGGGACCCTCTGCCCAGTCTGTCTCCTACTTGGGTGCAGGAGCTATGTACTCAGAGGGCCAATAGTCTCAGAGTCCCAGCACCACTCCATCTGCCTCTTGCTGAACTGCCTCTGAGATTAATACCTTCACCAATTATTTACTGAGTGCTTTACTCTGTGTTAGGTATTGTTCTGGGGGCTGGAGGAAAAGCAGAAGATAGAAAGAACAAAATATCTACCCTCATGGAGCTTACCTTATGTAATATATTACAAGTTAGTAAGTATTTCAGAAGCACTGGTGGCAGGGATAGGTAGAAATAAGTTGGTTAGAGAAAGACATATAGAAATTAAATTTGAGTAAAGATACAAAGCACATACAAAGATTCCTCAAGCACGTTTTGTAGGTGTTTGGGAGAAGAAAGTGAAGAAAGGACTTCTAGGTTATAAGACTTCTTTGATTTGGTGGGGAGACTTCTGTGGCCACTCTGTATGCAGGAGGATTCAGTGTCTGGACTTGGTGGTTGTGTTTAACAGGGACCAGGTGGCAGGGATATGTGCAAAGGTCAGCACGCCCAGCCTTCCAACAGAGAGCAGAAGAGAAGGAGGGTGGAGAACATGGGAGAGAAACTGCCTGTGTGACAAAGTTGCTGTAGGCATTCAAGTCCACTCTCCTGGCCAACCACCTGCAGATGAGTGGCACCAGTCAGGAGGCCCTCAGAGCTAGTGGCTTACCTTTGTCACCACCTCACCTTACTTTCTCCTTGGCATCATTAAAACTCTCTGCCACGTAATACAGGGGCTGGAACTCCGTGACAGTGTACTTTTGGATGGCTGTCTTCTCCAGCTCCAGAGGAAGGAGCGTTGGCTTGTCTGATAAGCAGTACTGTAGGCACCAAGTGAAAAGTTATCACTGTTAAATCAGAATCAGTATTCCCTGCTGCATCCCATAACCCATTTGTGCACCTTCTCTCATCTCACCCAGATTCTTTCTACATTGTGGCCCAAATGCAGTGAGCCAAATTACTTTGCATATCATAGCTCATCTAAAACCTGCAGCTGAGGGAGAAAGTAATTAATTCCAATTACTTTCAAGTAAGGTGGTCACTGGATAATGTGAGAGCCAACCACACTTTCTGGCATGTGTTTGCATACTCACAAGGCTGCATGCATAGTTGAGCTTTGGAATAAGTAGGTCCCTTCTCCCCAGAGATATGTGTACTTGAAATTCCATTTCTATCTGTAACCCTCACAACCATAGTCAAATCATTGCTGCTAAGGTACCAGTCACTGGAGAATGAGTTCCTAGGCTGCATCTCAAAATGGATACATATAGGGTTTCAACAATACCAAAAGTACAATAATGGTGTTCTGCACCCACCACTTGTAAATCCATCCTTGGTTCCCATTAAGATCATACCTGTAATTCACCAAAGGAAGACAGGAGCCCAGCTCCATATGCCTTTATGGCATCTCCTTGTTTGCAGAGCCCAAACTCCACAGTAAACCAGTAAATCTGGAATGGAAAGTCAAGCTGAGATACGCTCTGTGATGGTTAATCTTATGTGTCACCTTGACTGGATAAAGGGATACTTGGACAGCTAGTAAAGCATTATTTTGGGCATGTGTCTGTGAGGGTGTTTCTGGAGGGGGTTGGCTTGAGTCAGTGCACTGAGTGGGGAAGATCTCCTCTCAATGTGGGTGGGCACCACCCAATTGGCTGGAATCCCAGATCAAACAGAAAGGCAGAGGAAAGCCAGATTTGTATTCTCTCTCCCCTAGAGTCAGGACACCCTGTTTTCCTGCCCTTGGACATCAGAATTCCAGGCTGTCTGTCCTTTGGACTCTGGAACTTGCACTCTACCACCGCCCAGAGATTCTCAGGCCTTTGGTCTCAGACTGAGAGTTATACCATCAACTTCCATGGTTCTGAGGCTTTTGAACTTTCATTAATCTGTGCCATTGACTTTTCAGGTTCACCAGCTTGCAGACAGCATACTATGGGACTTCTCAGCCTCCATAACTGTGTAAGCCAATTACTCTAATAAGTCCCCTCTCAGTCCTGTCTCTCTTTCTCTATCTCTATGTATCTCACTGGTTCTTTCTCTCTGGAGATCCTTGACTAGTACACACCCCAAAGAAGGAGAAAGCAGCAACGGCCCCAGTGCCGTGGACAGGATTGTCCAGGTAGGAGTCTGTGCAAGTCTGTTCTCTGAATCAGCATAACCTGTGGTCACTTCTTTGTGTCCTGTGTTTCACTCTATCCAGTCACCTGCTGAATCAAGTGTTGGCTGAATGTAAAGCATGATGGAAAATATCAGGGGATACTGAGAAGTCTCCAAAGGAGATCCCCAACAATTTTTTACCCCTATGACAGGAACTCTTCCATCTCTTTTTTTTCTCTGTGTTATCAGCCAGAGTGAGATGTTCCTCAGATGCTCTGAAGCTGGTGGAGTCCATCAGACACAACAGTGGGAGGTAGAAGATTTGGTAGTGATAGAATCAATGAGGGGAATATCCCATCATCCATTATGTGTCACGACTGGATGAAGGGATACTTGGACAGCTAGTAAAGCATTATTTTTGGGATGTGTCTGTGAGGTGCTAAAACTTGGGGGGTGTTTCTGAAGTCAGCCTCTGCATTTATTTCCCCAAATAACCAAATCTGTCTCTTTCAATAGTTCTCAGTCCAATATGTCCTAGACACCTGCCCTGAAAAATATATGGGGGTTCTGGAGCTAAGGGAAACCCAGAATTCAGTTAGCTGCTGGAGACAGTCACAGTTTTGGCAAATTAGGGGTAGGTTATTAGTTACATCTGTTTATTGGACTGGAGAATGTTATACTTGGGAGGGCTGTCAGAGCTTAGTCAGTCTAACCACCTCACATACAGGTGAGGAGTCTTCAGCCCAAGAAGGTAAGGCAATATGCATGTAGTTACACAGCAAATTTAGGGCAGCAAGAATCCAGAACTGTTCCCCAACCAATCAGTAGCATTTTTTAAATCAGTAACAATTTTTTAGAGAAGATGAGTTGGTGATAAGCCCTTTAATATTGTTACGGCAGGCAATGTGATGCTCTGAGTTCCAAGGTCATTTTCTTTGTAGAAGTGAGAAATTTACTCAGCTCTGTAGCTTCTTTGGTAGTTGCTCCTTGTATCTCTGCAGCCTCTGGCATTTAAAAATCCATGTTCACAAAAATTTAGCTAAATTTAACTATATAGTTAAATTTTTAGTTGCTTTTGAGATGGGAATGATGGAAGTAGATCCCATTTTTAGAGATGAGGAAGAAAAAGCCACTTGTTCAAGGCCTAGTAGCAGCTGGTCAGTGAGAAAATAACCTCCTGGGAGTTTTAGCTTTTCTGATGGAATGAGTTCATAAGCTTCTAAACAGATATATCTTAATGATAGAGTTGCAGTCATTGGCAGTCCATAATTCAATTACATATTTTTATTTTTCAACTTCCAGGACAGGCAATGTGGTTAATGGCTGGGGTGGGATGTACTAAAATTAGAAAGGAGTATGAGGGGAGGAAATCACCTGCTATGCAGAGTTGCTGCTCCTATAGCCCCAATGGACAAGTGTCATCAGATACACCCGGGAGAGGAAAGTGTTCAGCAAGAAGGGAAAGCCCATTACTCCCTTGCATCTGAGAAAGGAAAGATCCTAACGTATGCTCTGGCGTGAAGTTAGAGATGTAAATATTCCCTCTTCAAAGCTCTGGATCCAGATTACTTCATATACAAACTTTATGCCAAGGGTTTCCAAGAGCTACTATTATAGCCTGTTGGTGGGTTCAAAATACTGCTTAAAATGTAGGATGTAAACGTCTGCAGGTAGCTGATTTCAAAATCAAATCATTAAGGAGAAATCAATCAAAATGTGAAGTTTCACTTGTGCAAATGCAACCCATTACATTCTGATTTTTCCCACCAAATAACCTGGCTTCCAGGGGAGTAGCAAATGTTCAAAGACTTGATGAGGGCCATAGCCCATAGCACTCCCACCATCCACCCAGGGAGAGAAGGAACTTACTGTGGCAAGTTTTTCAATGTACTCATCTGGTGCACCCAGAGAGGCAAGGCCAATTTCCTGTAATTGGGGGAAACAGAGTCACTGGATCAGTGGGTGTCTGGCCGTCTTTAACCTTAACCCACAGAACCAACCTGATACTTTCCATGAAAAAGTGATGGATGGCCAGATGCCTTCAGAAGGGCCCACATGGACCCTGAGTGTGCTGTCAAGCCTTTCCTGGCCATATGTTATAGAATCACAGATCTTTAGAGCAGGGGACCCTTTCACCCTCACTTGGCCCTTTGTTTTCACTTTATAAACAAGGAAATGGAGGCACAGAGAAGGAAAGTGACTTGCTCATGGTCACAGAGTCGCTTATTATCTAAAGCTTCTTCTGGACTCCAGCTCAGTAATTATTCACCAGCATAACATTCCTGGAGTGTTAAATGAGTCTTAATCACATACCCTGGAAACATCACAGGAGAACTGCACATAAGTGGCGGCATCCGTCCAGGCATATATATAGCTGGAGAGTCTGGCACGTCATAGATTAATTTGCACCACAGCTTCTATTGCAGAAGTTCTCTACTGGTCTCTTTGTCTCTTTTACAGCACTTACTCAAGCCTGTCTTGTGTGCATGTGTCTTTCCTACTATCCACATTCATTCATTCTAGAAATATTTCAGTTCATTCGATGTGCCAGACAGTGTACAAAATCAGTAAAGACATCTTGTGGATTTTAGTGGAGACAGACAATAAATAATAAACACACACATAACTATGTTAGAATAATATAAGTTCTTTGGAAAGAAGAAACAAAATGAGAAAGAAACAAGAGGGATTAAGAGCTCCAGGGGATCAAGGGGAGGCTTCAATTTTAAATAGGGCTCCAGGGTAAGCATCATTGAGAAGGTGATATTTGAGCAAAGACTTGAAGGAAGTGGGGTTGTTGGTTTTACTGACATATGAGGGAAGCACACTGCAGGCCAAGCATATAGCCAGTGCAGAAGCTTGCATTTCTTTCTCGAGAAAAGGAAGTGTTGTTTGAGTCAAGAAAGAGGGAGGGACCAATGTGGCTAAAGCAGAATTAGTGAGGGGGCAGTGGCAGGAGATAGCAAAGAGGGGTCTAGGCCAGATCATGCAGAATATTTTTAGACGTTTTAGGGCTTGGGCTTTTCTTCTCAGTGAAACAGGTGCCACTGCAGGGATACGAGCAGATAGATGGTCATGAAGCAGTCCTTCCGGCTGCTGTCTGAGAATAGACGGTATGAGCCGAGGATAGAGGCAGGACACCAAGAGACTATAGGGGCAGAGGATAGAGTAGGACATCAGGAGACTGAAGGGGTTGAGGGTAGATAGGACACCAGGAGACAGGAGAGGTGGAGGGTAGACAGGACGCCAGAAGACTGGGGATGAGCGGGGGTGGGCAGGGTAAAGACCAGTAGTGGGGGCCAGTGAGGAGACTACTGCAGTTACCAGGACGAGAAATGATCGCAGCTGAGACCAGGTTTGTAGCAGTGGACATAATTGAAAGCGTCAGATTGTACACATATTTTGGTCAGATGCTACACATATTTTGAAGATAGCACACACAGGATTGTCTGAAATATTGGTTGTGGGGTTAAGAGAGAAAGGAGTTGATAATGTCCCAAAGTGCTTATAGTATGATCATCTGGAAGGAAGGAGTGTCTATGAACTGATATAGAAAAAGCTGTGCTGGAGAAGGTTTGAGCTGGAAGATCCAGAACTCAGTTTTGGACAGGATGATAGACAAGTCTTAGAGGCATCTAAGGGGAGATGTTGAATAGGCAGTTCAACATGTAAGTCTGAATTTTAGGATGTAAGTCTGGACTGGAGATATAAATGTATCCATCATCAGAGTAGAGATGGTGTTTAAAGCCAAGAAATTGAGTGAGATCACCAGAGGAGTGGGTGTAGACAGAGATGAAGACTATGATTAGACCCACTTTGAAGCAAGAAGCTACATGGTCTGGGTCAAGCCCATAGCCCGGTTCAGATTATGCTTACAAAATGCTTTCTGATTTAGAGGGAACCAAATTCAACTTCTTAGCCTAGATCTGCTCTCCTGACCCTCACCTATCTCCATTCCATCCACCCACCCAGACCTACCACAGTCTCAATTCAACTAGAAGCCACTGATAAATCCAAGACCAGAATGACACCTTGTTCTCTTAGTCATTGTTCTTTGTGAGCCTAGAGCTTACCTACAACAAGGGGCCCCAATATGCCCTATGATCCAGCCCCACTCCATCCTGTACTGTAGTGTGAAGCAAGTCCTGCCTCTGGTCAAAAAGGAATGTTCTCAGGAAACTTTCAGCATGACTCCCTGCCTTGGGACTGTCCAGATCGACGTTGTAACCATGTGGCACTGATGCCCCAGGACTCCTGTTTGTTGACTTGAGTAACTGTCCACTCTTCTGTAGGGTTCCCCAAAGTGGAAATGGCTTAAGGAGGACTGCCACTTAGCCTCTGACTTGGTAAACTAGCTTCTGGTGGTAAGAATAAAAGGGTCCTATTCTTCAAGGAAAAACCTGTTTGTTCTTTGGCCATAGTAACAAATCTAGATTTTAAAACTGTCCCAATCAATCAAAGATATCTTGGCAGCGGTAACCATACTTCTGAATGTCATTAGTGATGCTTCTACAGTTAAAGTTCAACTAATCCCTAAACACTCCAACTCCCAAAATTAAAACAATCTTCGAACTCCAAAATTTCCCAAACCTCACATAAAAGTAACCTTTCCCTTTGTTTCAAGAGGCTGCATCTTGCACGTATAGTTCTCCATCACTTAGCAAGCAATAAGTTTTTGTTTGTTTGCTTCAAATATTAAGTGGTAGATTCTTTACTTGTCAGTGGGAATGTTTATTTCTTCCAGCTGAGGGAAAATGCCCATCAAATTCACACACAATCTCATTATTCTGAAATCCCAACACTTGGCTCATAGGTCATTCCATTTGATCCTCGTGGTTCCTTGTGAGGGAGATGACTGGTGGAGAGAGCTTTCCACTGATCCACATTTATTAAAACTGAGTCACAGGGTGGCTGACAATGTAACCCAGGTAACACAGCTGGTTAGTGGCAGGGTTGGAGTCTGGGTACATCAGAACCACCATTCAGCCTTCTCATGATCCCAGCCATGCAACCATGGTTTTAGGCTGCCTCTCAGTGCCCAGAGATAATTAGTAGAATTATTGTGCTCATCCCAAAACTTTTTCCTTTTTGGCCAGGCGGGGTGGCTTATACCTGTAATCTTAGCGCTTTGGGAGGCTGAGGTGGGAGGATTGAGGCCAAGGGTTTGAGGTCAGCCTGGGCAACATAGTAAGCCTCTATCTCTACAAAAATTAAAAAATTTAGCCAGACATGAAAGCATGTGCTTGTGGTCCCAGCCACTCAGGAAACCAGGAGGTTGAAGTAGGAGGATCACTTGAGCCCAGAAAGCTGAGGCTGCAGTGAGCCACGATTACACCACTGTACTCCAGCCTGAGTGACAGAGTGAGACCCGGATTTAAAAAAAAAAAAAAATCTTTGCGAGCTTGTTATAACAACACTGTGAAAGATGAATGAAATTCTAGGTTGCAGCTTTGATAATGTGATAAAACATTCAGCTCATTTTTTTTCTTTGTCAACTGTAAGTCAGGGTATTGGCATTGGATTCTTGGCAAATGTCATCTTACTTAATTCAAGCATATACATAAAAAACTGCCTGACAAGGTAAAAAGTTGCAATGGCCCTGATAAAGAGGGAAATGCACTAAAAGATTGGAAGAAAGTGAGGTAGTTCCTGCATGGGAATCAGGGGGCTTTCCTGGATGAAAGGCTCTTAAACTGTACCTAGCAGGAAAACTGAGATTAAACACATTGAGGAACACACATATGATTCAGAAGATGAGTGATTCACCAACCCCATGCTTAGTACCCGGAATGGGTACTTAACTTCCCAGAACCACACATCCATTTCAGGTGGGATCCTGGTTTCCTCTCTTGCAGAGGGCATGAGGGCCCCTCCCTGGCCTCAACTTATTCAAGAAATTCAGGTCACAGCCCTATAGCTAGAAGGCTAAAAAGTCCATTCCTTACCTGGGAAAACTGGGCAAAGCTGCGATCTGAAAACAAGGGCACATGTCCCAACAGCTCATGGCAGAAAGCATAGAGAGCTTGGAGGGGAGGAGGGTTAAGCCAAGCCAGACTCAGTCTTTCTACATGAAGAATGGGCAGAAAGAAAGGAAATACCTTTTTTAGGCTTATGATCTCTCTTCCAGGAATAAGTGATATGCAAAGGTTGGGATCAGAAATGGCAAGGTACAAGATAAAAGGAATAAAAGGAATGAAAAGCAAGAGACAGGTACATTGTGGGGCACAGCAGCCAATGGGTCTTAGGAGTATGCCCAGTGGGGTACAGGGCAGAAGAGCTAATATCCTTGTGCACATGTTCCCATGTACCTAAGTGAGCTATGAGTCATGAACACTTCTCGTCCTGTCTTCTCCCTGGTATTGACTTCCCTGGGCAGATATAATATGCTCAGCTATTCCACTGGGAACTGAAACAAAAACAATGCTGCTCTTCTCTTAGTCTGGAGGGGGACAGCAGTGAGGGAAGAAAAGCTACATTTACTTAACACTTTCTGTGCTATGTCCATTTGGAACAGGTCTTTTGGATTTGTAGCAATGAACTTTGTGGGCAAGGAAAAATAATTTGGAATGTTCTACTGATTTTTTTATGAGTTGCATAAGTTTTATCAGACTAAGGGGATAACTAAACGCCCAGAAGAAGCACAGTGGCTGCCATTCTGTACCTCTACCCAATACACAGTCTAGACAAAGAAAGATAAGAGTAATCTAGATGTACACTTAGGAGGTATTGAGATAGCTTGGCTTCCACTTGTTCCTATTCTCATCTGCAACTTCGTAGCTTTGACTTTGGAACTTGATTGGGATCTCTCATTCTCACTGCCAAGGTAGCTCTGAATCATTGGATCACAGGATGCCCAAATCTCCAATCAGTCTGGTCTATCTACTTGGGTGCAGAAAATCTCTAGAATAGATGAGTTTTTCTCTCAGTACTACCAGCAAACAATCTAGACAACTAGTCCTGTGGACCAGCCAGCAATGAACCCAAACCTCATTCTTGCAGCAGGAAAGGATGGAACCCATCGTGCCTGGCAACTGGTAGCTGGAGGACAGTACTCACGGTTCGGGGGTGTACATAGGCTTGGATCCATGTCTGATGTACTGTGTGCAGTGGAAGACTCGGAAGGCCAGGCCACCCAAGAAATCGCGAGAGGAAAGCAGGCCAGCCACAGGTCGGAGGCGGAAACCAGTGCAAGCTGGGATGCAAAGAAGAAAGAAAACTCAAAGCTCATCACCAATGAGCCAGAGGCACTAGAAGACCTTCAGATGGGGGACAATACCCATAACTGCCCAGGGACATGGGCTTTGCTGGTAGGTAGGCTTGGCTTCAGATGTCTGCATCGCCGCTTTCTAGCTGGGTGCGCTGGATCAAGTAAATTCACATCTCTGAGCCTCAGTTTCCTCATTTGCATAATGTGAATAGATACTTCTTAGGAATGTTCCAAGAATAAAAAAGCTAATGAATATAAAGTACACAGGGCCTGGAGCACTGGAAACATGCAATACATTTAGCCTTCGTGACCATTTGTTAGGGTGGAGCAATTATTCCCTACTTCTCTTGCTTCTAGTGTGAAGGGGGAAGTGGTACCTCATTTCCCAGAAGGGAAGAGTATGGAAGGAGTGCTTCTAGCTTCTGTACTGAGCCTCACACAGTCCACCCCATGAGTAGCAGTGGCCTGTCTGACTGTAGCATTTGGGAAGAGAATATGAATATTATCAATGTAACTATTTCTGTGCTGCTCTTTCTTGATTGCTCACAGAGGACCTCATTCCAGTCTGCTCTTGGCCATGCAAATGGACTATGCTCCATGAATTGGCAGGGAAGTTTGTCTAATCAAGAGGTAAAATATTAGCAAGTCCATTAGTGTGCACATCTATATCACATTCTCTAAATTGCTTTATTTTAAAACTGACCTCTGATCACCATCTCTGTGGTTCCTGTATCTGTCTCCCACTTTGTTCCAAACTTGGGAGGATAAGGACAATGACAGTGATAATGGCAATAATAGCCAGCACTGTATATTATCTACCATTTGTCAGACATTCTTTTAAGCTATTTTATATATGCTACTAATCCCCACAATAGCCCTATGAAGCAGACAGTCTTATTATGCCCACTTTACAGATGGGAAAGCTGAGACAGACATAGGTTAAAGCTTTCATTCAAGGTCACAGCCATAGGCAGTGTAGCTTCAAAGTCTGTTGTCTTAATTACTATTATGTAGCTTCCCAACTGCCAGTGTTACTGTTTATCATTCTTACTATTGGCCATGGCAATGGGAGTACTTAGCTAAAGAAGTCTTTGGGATCCCCCTGCCTCCTGCCCCCATGTTCTCTGTGTCTTCAAGTTGAAGCACACTCTGCTTAGACCCTTACTCTACTCTTTAAGAAGCAAAGAGCCTCTAATGGAAGGGACCCAAAAGGTCATCTAACTCACCCCCAATCTGTCCTGGCTGCCATGTCCCTACCTGCCAAGTAATGTCCTTGGCTCGTTGCCTCCAGCGTGGCCCACTTCTGCACAGTTCTGATATATAGAAATTCTTTAACCTGTAATCTGTCTCCCTACTTTTTCTTATTCTCTCTGACACATAGTAGGTATTCAATATGTGTTAGTTCATTGTTCTGTTTTTGCTAAATTAACATCCTCTTGGCAGAAAGAACAACACCTATTTCCCCTGGAAATGCTGTGCAGAGGCCTGTGACTCAATGTACTTACCTACTAAGCTACTCAGATTTCAATTCAGTCCAAAATTCACTGAATACCTGCTGTATATGCAGCACTGTGCTGGATGTTCTCATATGCAGCATCTTACTTCATTCTCACAATTTCCCTTTGGGAAAAGCTAATGAGTTGCCAGTGTCCATTTGACAGATGACAAAACTGAGGCAGGTTTACTCAGCTGGAGAAGTTCAAAGTCAGGATTCATACCAGTTGCACAGACTCAGAGCTCAGGGCTCTTGACACCATCCCCCAAAATAGCACATTTTTTACACAAACAAACACTACTAACCCATAACCCAGCAGGAGCTACAGGGCAAAAAACAAACAAACAAAAAGACCAGTATAGCACCTTGGGCTTTAAGTGTGAAAGAAAATACTTTTCAGGGACAGGCACACAGCAAAATCCATGGCCTCATGTGTTGGGCTGAATGAAAGTGGATAAACACAGTAGAGGCTAGAGTGAAGGCAGAGGGCAGTGAAACCGAGTTCTTCCTGGAGGAATCAACCTGCACGCATTTCTATAAAAACACGTGTTTATACCTGCTTCCGCCTACTTATCTTCCCCTTCCTTCTCCTCTGCCTCAGTCCTCCCCTTCTTTCTGCAGAGCTTTTGACCCTGATGTGGACTTACTCTGCAGGAATTGAGAAACGTCTTCCAGCTGTGGAATATTATCTTCATGGAAGCCACAGTACTTCTCAAGAAGTGGAAAAATGTGATTGTACTCATAGCAAGCATGGGTTTTATACAAGGACTTCAGAGTCTTGAACACCGTACCCCATGTTTTCTTTTCTTCCTCCGTGTATTCCACCCTAGGGATGGGCTGCCCACTAGAATACAGATACAAAATAAGAGTCTCAAGCAGGGCAGAGAGGTGCAGCAGAACACAGTTAGGTTAGCAGAGGGAGTCGGGGGCCAGAACCTATGAGCTGCCATCACTTGCTATAGTAAATTTCATATGTTATTTGAAAGAAAAAAATTCCACATCTTGATACAGGAAACATTATTGTTTTGATTTCCCACATGAAAGAGTGATTTGGCTAAGCAACGATACAAACTGTATTGAGGATTTTCTCTTACTTTGGGGAAATCACTTGGTTTTTTTGCTCTTCCAATTTTCTAATTGCTTACCTAGGGTAGAAATTCACTTACCTGCAGGGGCCAGGCAGGTATCACAAAGGTGTAAAGTGGCCGACGTAAGGCAACAAGGAGAATGGGGGCCAGCTAGAGAATGCATTCCCTTTCTAAACAAGGGCATCTAAGTCCAATTAAAGCAACATTGCGTATTTCACGGTGTCAGCTAAAGCCAAGTCTGAGATCACCTTTGTTTGGTAGGCATGCACCTACTGGGTTTGATATTTCTGCTCCTGGGAAGTTATAAAGGTATTTAAATACATGCTAAGATTCCACATTGTATACATATATCAAAACATCATGTCATACAACATAAATAAATATATAATTTCATTTATCAATTAAAAACCTAAATAAATAAATTCTAGATCAAGGATTATAAATAAATATTGGAACGAAGGAGAGAAAAATATATAAATCCATGCTAAGTTATAAAGTACCATATATCTTCTCTACACTGAGCTTGTTCAAGTACATATGCCAGGCCACAGATCCTGAATCTCTTGTGGAAAAGAAGGCTCACATATCTGGAGTCTATAAGCTCCCCAGGTGACTCTGATGCAAACTGTAGTTTAACAGTCATTAGTTTAAAAAGTCCTTTTGAAAACCACCTAGGAATGAGCCTTGTTCTGAACAGCACAAACAGATGAAAATCAAACAAAGCCTGACTTCAAAGACCAGCGACTATTCCCTAGGCTGCAGGTCTGTTTCCCTAACAGGAACACAGAGTCTGGGACAAAGTGAGACTGTTTATGTCAGAATTATGGATCATCATTGGCTCCAGATTAGGTCTTTCCTGCCCTTTCAGAGTTGTACCTCATCCAGACACATTAGATCACAGTCTTTGTTATTGTCTACAGATGGGTGACAAGGATTAGGAAAAAAGACAGCATTTTAAGCCAGACAAGCTCAGAAAGCGTTGTGGTAGCCAGCAGTGATAGTGAAAAAAAATCAGGTAGTTTTTGCCCAAGAATGCGCCATTATCAAAGCCAAGCACTGATATAGCAGACGAACAGACTTTGGAAACAGATAGAGACTATTCAATCCTTGGCCCTGCCATTCCCTGTATCAGCTAAGGCAATTTAGTAAACCTTTCCGAGCCTCAATCTGAGCAGCTGTTACATGGGCTAAAAATAAGTAACTATTTGTATAGTATAGATAAATTTAAGTCTAATACTATGTACAAAGTACCTAGTATTAATATTGACAAATCATAACAATTGGATGATTGATCACTATCATTGCTACTGCTTCTCATTTTAAAAGAAAGGCATCTGTTACTCCTGTAACAAATTTCAAGAGATGGTGACATCCTGAGCACCAAGATATTCTGTGGGTTGACACCTGTTGTTCTAGGGTCTCAACATCTGTTCCCCATTCATCAGTAAAGCACCTTTCTCCCCTCTCAGTCTGTGAGGTTCAGATGAGGAGAGACTCCACCCCTACCTTCAGAAGTGGGCATGTGACCAGGCTAAGCCGATTGAAATCTCTCATTCCCCTGCACTGTGCCTGGCTAAGAGATGGGCCTGTGTCCTAATCAGAGTCAGTGGACTCAATGACAGAACTTGGTTGACTTTCTTTGAAATAGACAGGACCTCTAACTAAGTTGGGATATCAGCCCAGAGGTACTAGGTTCCCTCTCCAAGATAAGTGAGGCCAATGTCTGAAAGCAAGGCCAAAGCAAAGGACACTAGAGTCAGAGAGAGGCAGAGAATGAGACAGTGAATCCTGGACCTGTCTGAGCTTAAACCACCTGCCTTAAACTCTTTATTTATAGGATCCAGTAAAGCTCTTCTTTATGTCTGAGTTGTTTTGTAGCTGAACAATATAAGCTCCTATGATCCATTTTATCTAATCCTAGATAAAACTTACAAGCCTAACCTCCACTCCAGTAATATCATCAAAACCTGCTGTAGCAGCCTTCTAGATGGTTCTAGACACCATTCTTGGCTCTGCCTCCAATTCACCACTTTGAGTCCTTACCTTTATATGGTCTCTTGGATTCATTCATTCAACAAATGTTAATTGAGCACTGTGACAAAACAATCAGTTGCCCCTGACCTCATAGAGTCCACATTTCCAGTAGGGAGAGACAGAAAGCCAACACAATTCGTTAGATGGTGATAAATGCTATAGAGAAACAAAGGGCAAAGGTATAGGGAGTTTCAGAGTGGGGTTTCAATTTTACTTAGGGTGTAGAGAGGGCACAAGGCTGAGAAGGTGACTTCTAAATGAAAGCCTGAGGAGAGCAGGCCTCACTGCTTCACTCTGGAGTCTTCCATTTAGCTTTCACATCACTGTTTGAGATTCTGATTCTGCTTTTCTGCAGGTTTATCCAGTTAGCACCAGTCCCTGAAGTCTAAAGCAGTGACAGCTCTATCCCCCTTGCACACTTCCTGGGGCTGCTCATCCCAAGCTTGATAGCAGTGGCTCAGTAGTCTCTGCTTTCCTGTGAAAAGCAGGAGTCTCAATTCTAACTCTGCCTCTTCCTACCTGAGTGAGACCTTGGTCAGTTTTTAAAAAGCAAGATCACGCACGAAAGCACAAAAATGTTAAAGATGTGACACTAAATAGACCATGTAAAGACAAATGTTGTCAAAATGAGAGTAGAAAAAGGTAGAGTGTTGCCTTGTTTGACCTCTGTTGGAGATACACACCTCAGTAGAATCAAATTTTTTCTCCTCCTCTGCGCAAGTCTGGGAATGACTGTGAAAGTGCACAGTGAGTACAGATTTCGGGGTCACAAATACACTGAAGCAATTAGGCAAATTCACAGTAGAGTCTCCAAAAAAATAAGGATGAACTATACCAGATCCTGAAGTAAAAGACTATTTTGAAGAAGAAAGACATGGCATCAAAATCTTAAACGAGATGAGATCAAGTAAGGTCTGAAACAGGCTTTGAATTTTAAAAAATGGTGAGCCCTTAACTAGCCACATGACCTTGGGCACATCAGTTAGTTAATCATCTGGGATTCATCTATAAAAGGTGAGAAATTGACTAAAAATTTTTAACCCATTTCTGAGAGTCCAGCCAGCTACAGATGATTTTCAATAACCAGTTTAACTGATGAACATCCAGGACTGTGAGGTAATTCATCAGTTTCACTCTTCTTCATGAGGTTTCACATTTTTATGAGAAGGAAGTTGAGGAGGACCTGTCTCTGTCCTCCCCAAATCCCAGCAACCCAGAAGGAAGTAAATGTACTTTCTAAGGACCTCCTCCTTGATGATACGAAGTGTAGTCTCCAGACACTCAGAGAAGTGGCTGCAAATACCCTTTGAGTTCAACACACCTGAGTTTAAAACCTGTGAGTGTCACACACTAGCTACATGATATTGGCAACTTACTTAACCTTTATAAGCTTTGGTTTCCCCATGTGACAAATGAGAAGTTATTATTATTAAGGCTAAACAAAATGATATATACAAAGGATTTAACAAAGCCCCCAGACATATAGCAAGAAAGTATTAAGTATGATCTGTTATTGCTGACTATCTGAAGGACTCTTGCCTGTACCCACTTTGATGGTGTCCACCTGACTGTGCTGGGGCAAAGGTGGGGTCAGGGGAGGAAGGTCACCATCTTCTGTGAATCCTGCTCAGCAGGAGCCAAGGCCCAGATGGGCTTAGATCTGACTAAGGGCAGCACAGTTTTGAATCCTTCCACTACCAGAAGTTATTCTGAAAAAAACATTCTCTTTTTCTGGAGGTTTTTCCATGTTGAAAGTAACTTTGTATTCAGTATAGAAAGGCCAATTATCTTCTCCATCTCCCTGAGATTCTATCAAAGCTGTCAAACTACTATGCCACCAGTGGTCCGGACGACTGTTATGTTTCTTCTTGTGCATGTCTTTTCTTAATCCCTTAACTCAGTAATGGTGCTTGTCCAAACACTAAGTTTCCCATGGGAGCATTTCTGTAGTTCCTTAAGACTCAAAGCACCAAAACTGTTCTCTTCTGAAACATATTTGATATTTGCATTTTCTTTTGGCTAAAATAGAGTAGGGAAGGAACATAGAATCTCAGACAGGAAAAAAAGAGAGAGAGAAAAAAAATCCTAAACTTGTCATTCACAGCTGGGTCAGACCAGATAAAAGTGGAACACTGAAGCTTGGCTGCCCTAAAATCTTGAATGATGCATTATATCAGTGAAGCAGCCAGCTCCTTCTTGAATGTAAATGATTCTCTTTTTCCTTCTTCCCTGTTTAATGTGGAGAAGACCAGAGGCTGTTTTATTCAGGACCGAGGCCTTTTATAATTGCTGCAGACACCACTGCCTAATTAGACAATAAAGCTTGGGAGAGAGCAGGGCCCCAGCACAGCGGGTAATTTTGTTTTGTCTAGCAGCAATCTTTTTCAACGTGTGTTTTGAAAGGGAGGATTTAAACACACACACATACACGCACGCATGTGCACACATGCACACACAGACGGTAGGACTAGGGGTGTGTTTTTCTCTCTTCCCCACAACAAGCAAGGCAGACTTACTGGCGGTAGTTGTAGGCAATGTCAGCAAACTGCTTCCGTCTCGCACGGTACACAGGATCTTTAAAACCCTAGGAGAAAAGAGACACCTGATTTTCAAGGCTTTGTAGAAAGTGGTCTGATACCTTTATGAATGCTTTGAATGGGGGCTCTTGAGCCACGACAGTACATGTCTCCTTCCCTTGGTTATACGCTAAAAATAAAGTCTCAGTGAAACTTAGGATAAGTTCTCCTACCAGATATTATGAGTGACACATTATCAGTAACTCCTTCAGTTTAGCATCCATCAATCCCTGCTATGGATTCCAAGGTTCATGCTCTGTTTTGTTGTTTTGTTTTGTTTTGTTTTGTTTGAGACAGAGTCTCACTCCATCACCCGGCTCCAGGCTGGAGTGCAGTGGCAGGACCTCAGCTCACTGCAACCTCTGCCTCCTGGGTTCAAGCAATTCTCCTGCCTCAGCCTCCCGAGTAGCGGGTACTACAGGCACATGCCACCACGCCCAGCTATTTTTTTTT